CAGTGGGCAGCAGCAGTAGTGGGCAGCTGCAGTAGTGGGCAGCAGCAGTAGTGGGCAGCAGCAGTAGTGGGCAGCAGCAGCAGTGGGCAGCAGCAGTAGTGGGCAGCTGCAGTAGTGGGCAGCAGCAGCAGTGGGCAGCAGCAGCAGTGGGCAGCAGCAGCAGTGGGCAGCAGCAGTAGTGGGCAGCAGCAGCAGTGGGCAGCAGCAGTAGTGGGCAGCAGCAGCAGTGGGCAGCAGCAGCAGTGAGCAGCAGCAGTAGTGGCAGCAGCAGTAGTGGGCAGCAGCAGTAGTGGGCAGCTGCTGTATCATCCAATCAGCAGCCGAATTTGGGCAGCTATACGTACATGTAGCCTTAGTATTTCAAAGTGTGTGCGTGTGTGTGTATGTGTGTGAGTGTATGTGTGTCACTGTGCATGCTTATATGCGCGTATGTCGCGTACATGCATGAGTGTTTGTGTGTGTGTGCGTGCGTTCGTGCGTGCGTTCGTGCGTGCGTTTGTGCGTGCGTGCGTGCACGAGCGTGTGTGTGTGCGTGTGTGCGTGCGTGCGTACGTACGTGCGTGAGTGCGATGCAATCACAGAGAGGTAGTCAACCTGGACAGAATGACTGAATCCTGATAGCGAGGTGTACGTAGTGACTGAAGCGGTTTTGTGCATGCATCCACACCGACCGACGCGTTACAACACGTGAAGAAGATGCAGCTCAGTAGGTTGGGATGCTGCCTGCTGCAGCAGCACACTCTCACATAAAGCCTCGTCATGAGCCTGTCTCACAGCTTCTTCCTAATTAGTCCTAATTATATAAATCCTCTCTGCCTCTGCGCCTCCCTCTGTCTCTCCCTTCCTTCCTTCCTCCCTCCCACCTTCATTCTCTGCCTCTCTCGCTCTCATTATGGGGCATCTGTTTATCTGGGTGTCATCTGGTGATGTCTCGCAGCTTCTTTCTCATTAGTCCTAATTATATAAATCCTCTCTGCCTCCGTCCCTCCCGCCGTCCTCCCGCCCCCTTCTTTCCTCCCTCCCTCCTTTCCTCCCTCTATTCCTCCCTCCCTCCTTCCCTCCGTCTTCCCTCCCTCCTTCCCTCCATCCTCCCTCCCTCCTTCTGCCTCTCTCATCGCGGAGCATCTGTTTATCAGGGTGTCATATGCCGATGTCTCGGGGGACGGTTCTACGTCATCGGGAGTGAAGCAGCGCTGCTAGAGAGTTTCTTTGCAGCTCTACGAGTGTCTTGCTACGCGCTAATTTCGCGAATCGGCCCCGCGCTCTGCTCACGCCCGCTCGCGCGGGCGCGTGCATAATTTATGGATGCATTAAGTTGACGCTTTGTTCGCGGCGGCGGCGGCGGTGTTGATGCGTGGGCAGGGTGCGTCGCGAGGTCATCGGCAACGTCGTTCGTCGCTTGCCGCGTGAATCTGCAGAAGGCGAAAAATCTCGCAGGAGTGAGTGAACACGTGCGGCAGAGGTGGTGGCGGTGGAGGCGGCGGAGGCAGCGGTGGCGGCGGCAGCGGTGGAGGCAGCGGCGGTGGAGGCGGCGGAGCGGAGGCAGCGGCGGTGAGGCGGCGGCGGGCGGAGGCAGCGAGGAGGCGGCGGCGCGGCGGGCGGTGGAGGCGGCGGTGGAGGCGGTGGGGGAGGCGCGGTGGCGCGCAGCGTGTGGGCAAGCGGCGGCTGAGGGCGGCGGCGGTGGAGCGCAGCGGCGGTGGAGCGGCGGCGGCGGAGCGAGCGGTGGAGAGCGGCGGTGAGGCGGCGTGGAGCGCGTGGAGGCGGCGGTGGAGGCGGCGTGTGGCGGCGATGGAGGCAGCGTGGAGTGGCGGTGGAGGCGGTGGGTGGCGGCAGCGGCGTGGAGCAGCGGCGGTGGAGCGGGCGGTGAGGCGCGGTGGAGCGGTGTGCGAGCGGTGGTGGAGGCGCGGCGTGGAGGCGGCGGCGGGCGGGCGGGTGGAGGGCGAGCAGCGTGAGGGCGGCGGAGGCAGGCCGGTGAGGCAGCGGTGGAGCGGCGAGGAGCGCGGCGTGGAGCGGTGGTTCGACGGCGGCAGTGGAGGCGGACGTCGTGACGGCCGGCGGTGGAGCGGTGTGGGCGGCAAGTGGAGGCGGCGGTGGGCGGGAGAGGAGCGCGGCGTGGAGGGCGGCGTGGAGCAGCAGAGTCAGCAGGCGGTGGAGGCGGCGGTGGAGGCCGGCGGCTGGAGGCGGCAGTGGAGGCGGCGTGGAAGGCGGCAGAGTGGAGGCGGCGGTGGAGCGGCAGACGGAGGCGCAGAGGAGGCGGCAGAGCGAGCGCGGCAGAGCGAGCGCGGTGTGGAGCGGTGGTCGAGGCGGTGGTGGAGGCGGACGGTGGAGGGGCAGAGGAGGCCAAGAGAGGCGGCAGAGGAGGCGGGCAGAGGCGGCAGACGAGAGGCAGCGGTGGAGGCAAGGTGGTGGACGGCAGCGGAGTCAGCGGCGTGTGAGGCGGCGTGGAGGCGGCGGTGGTGGTGGAGGCGGTGGTGGAGGCGGCAGCGGAGGAGGTAGTGGAGGCGGTGTTGGCGACAGTGGTGGCTGTGGAGGCAGTGGCCGTGGCGGTGGTGGCAGGCAATGGTGGCTGTGGAGGCAGTGGCTGAGGCGGTGGTGGCAGGCAGTGGTGGCTGCGGCGGAGGCAGCGTAAAACCTGACATGAGTGTCCTTGATTCTCATCTGCTGTCAGTTTTCATTTTTCGTCCTTTCATCTTGCTATTGCCCGAGTTGAGAGAGATGACAGAGAAGGGGAGGGACAGAGAGGATAAAGAGCAAACTTTGTTAAACCAAAGAAGAGAGAGAGAGAGAGAGAGAGAGAGAGAGAGAGAGAGAGAGAGAGAGAGAGAGNACACACACACGCACGCACGCACGCACGCACGCACGCACGCACGCACGCACGCACGCACACACTCTCTCTCTCTCTTCTCTCTTCTCTCTCTCTCTTTCTCTCGCTCGCTCTCTCTCTCTCTCTCTCTCTCTCGTTCTCTCTCTCTCTCTCTTTTCTCTCTAGATCTCTTTCACCTGCTATCTGCCATTAGTGACACGTCGTCTCCCTACATTACTAGAGTGCCTGCTTCCTTGTTTTTTCCTTCAGTAACCAAGCTCCTAGCCTTATTTCTCATCATGAATTTTAGTTGCTAGCTTGCTTTCTATCTCCCCTCCCCTCTCTTTCTTGCCTACTCTCTATCTATCTCTCTCTCTCTCTCTCTCTCTCTCTCTCTCTCTCTCTCTCTCTCTCTCTCTCTCT